CTGCGACGAGATAACGGCCCTCAAATTCCAAAATTCCGACATGGGGACCAACAGAGACTGACAGGGAACCTTGGAGGACGGCATGAAACGCCAAAACATCTTCCTTGGACCCCAGAGACTAAAGATGGGACTCTCAGAGTCTGGTGCGGGGCCCTCTGAGGCCTGTTTTGGGCCACCAGGGTCCGGTTCGGTGCATCAGATGCCGGTTATGGCCCTCAAAAGCCGGTTTGGGACCCTGAGTGGCCACTGGCCAGTACTGGCTCTCCAAAACCAGTTGGTCATCACAGGCCAGCCCAATATGATCCCTTACAGGCCAGTGTGGAGCTCTCGGAGGTCAATGTGGGCCCTCAGAGCCCAGTGCGAGGCACCCAAAGTTCAATCTTGAGCCCCCAGCGACCGGAGTGGGTTCATCAGAGGCTAGTGTGGGTCCCTCAGAGGAGCCCGATTCGGGGCCCTCAGAGGTCGGTGTAGGGACCTCAAAGGCCAGTATTGGCCCTCAAAGGCCTGTATGGGGCCCCCAGGCTCAGAGGCCGATGTGGGCCCTCAGGGACCAGACTAACCTGGCACCCCAGAGACCATAATAGGGTCATCAGTGGCGGTGTAGAGACCCCATAGACCGGCTGGGGCCCATTGAGGCCAGTTTGGGGCCCTCAGAGTCCAGTGTGGGGCCTGTTATAAGCGACAGTAGGCTGTAGGGCTCCCGCTTGCATTGTGTCTCGAACAAGACTGGTCCACATTCCAACCGCGCCCGCTGACCCCAGCCGTCGGTCCATGCGCCGGCGGGCAAGTCATCGCAGAGGCGGCTCCAGGGAGACAGTCGAGGAGCACACTACCACAGGGCCCCTAAAGACCGGCATGGGTCCTCAGAGGCCGGCATAGAGCCTTCAGAAGCCAGTACGGGGCCCTCAGAGGCACCCAAGGGACAAGGGCCAGCCTAGGGTGTCAGTGACAGAAATGGGGTTATCAGCAGCCGGTGTGAGACATTTAGAGGCCGGTTTGGGACCCTCAGAGGCCAGTTTGGACCCTAAGAAGCCAGTTTAGGGTCCTCTGGGCTCTGAGACCAGTACAGGGCCTTCAAAGGTCAGTTTGGAACCATTAGAGGCCGACGTGGGTCTTCAGAGGCCAGTGTGATTTCTACAGGCCAACGTGGAGCCCTCAGAGGTCAGTATGGGCCCCTAAAAGACCGGACAGAGCGTCCTCAAAAGCCAGGATGGGCCCTCAGAGGCCAATGTTGGTCCTAAGAGACCGGCATCGGGCCTTCAGAAGCCAGTACGGGCCCTCAGAAGTGCCCAAGGGTTAGTCTCTGTCCGCCAGAGACAGAAATTGGGCCATCCGAAGCCACGGTGTTGGGCCCTAGGAGGCCAGTTTGGGCCGTCAGAGACCAGTTTGGACCCTCAAAAGACCAGCGTGGGTCCGTACCGGCAGTGTGAGGCCCTCAGAGACCAGTACAGAGCCTTCAAAGGGCAGTTTGGAACCATCAGAGGCCACGTGGGCCCTCACATGCCGGTGTGGTATCTTACAGGCCAGCGTGGAGCCCTCAGAGGTCAGTGTGGGGCCCTAAAAGACCAGCATGGGTCGGTGTTGGACCCCAGAGGTCAGCATAGGGCCCTCAGAGGCCGATGTGGACCCTTAGAGACCGGCATCGGGCCTTCAGAAGTCAGTACGGGCCCTCGGGGAAACCCAAAGGCCAGTCTTGGGCCCCCAGAAAAAGAAATGAGGCCATTAGAGGCGTGGACCCCCAGAGACCAGTTTGGGAGCCCTCGAAACCAGTAGGTACAGGGCCCTCAAAGGCCAGTTTGGGGCCCTCAGAGGTCGATGCAGGCTCTTAGTGACCGGCACCCAAAGGTCAGTCCTAAAACCCAGAGACAGAAATGAGGCCATCAAGAGATCAGTGTGGGGCCCTCAAAGGCCGGTTGGGAGACTCCTGATGCCGCTTTAGGGCCTGGAGGGCCCTGAGAGGTCGATGTGGGCCCTCATCGGTCGATGTGGGCCCTCATCGGTCAGGGTTGGCCCTTGAAGGCCACTGAAGCGCCCTCAGAAGTCAGGATACTCAAAGACCGGCATGGGGGCTGTTACATAATACCTGGCGTTGGTTTCTTGAGCCTCGTGACAATCGGGTAAGAGCCAGGGCCCCTACGCCCTTCGGGGCCCATCGGTTGTTTAAGGGAGCAAATTATAGGATGGCCCCTGATTTGTCTTTGGGGGGCCATGGCCCTGATGCCCCCCTGCGACCTCCACTGGGCACCACCCCCACCGCCCACTGAGCGGTGAGCGGCGCATTTTTGCATGTCCGACAGCTCTATACAGTATAGTGAATACGGCCTTGTGACAGCTCAAGCTCTTGAGAGGAGGGTAGTACCTACATTAGAGGGGGCGGCGATGGCATTTGCACTTGAGGCGGCAGCGCCTACACTTAGAGGGGGCGGCACCTACATTTCATGGGCAGCACCCTAACTTGAGGGGCGGCACCCACGCATGGGGGTGGGGGTGGGGGCGGCATCTATCTACATACATGTGAGGGAAAGGCACCTTCATTTCAAGGGGTGGCACCTACACTTAGGGGGTGGCACCTACATTTGAGGGGGCTGCACTGCAACTAGGCCTTAGGGGGCGGCAACCTAGGGGTGCCATCTACATTCGAAGGGACGGCACCTACATTTTATGGGATGACCGATGACACCTATGCATAAGTGGCCGGGGCCAACATTTGAGGGGGCGGCGCGGCACCTTCATTCGAGGGGGCGGCACCTGCATTCGAGGAGGGCCGGCACCTACATTCGAGGGGGCAGCACTAACATTTGAGGGGGCGGCACCTGCATTCAAGGAGGGCCGGCACCTACATTCGAGGGGGCGGCACTAACATTTGAGGGGGCGGCACCTACATTCGAAGAGGGCCGGCATCTACATTCGAGGGGGCGGCACTAACATTTGGGGGGGGGCGGCACCTACATTCGAGGAGGGCCGACATCTACATTCGAGGGGGCGGCACTAACATTTGAGGGGGCGGCACCTACATTCGAGGGGCGGCATTTAGGTACATTTGAGGGGGCGGCACCAACATTCGAGGAGGGCCGGCATCTACATTCGAGGGGGCGGCACTAACATTCGAGGGGGCAGCACCTGCATTCGAGGAGGGCCGGCACGTACATTCGAGGGGGCGGCACTAACATTTGAGGGGGCGGCGCCTACATTCGAGGAGGGCCGGCATCTACATTCGAGGGGGCGGCACTGACATTTGAGGGGGCGGCACTTACATTCGAGGGGGCGGCACCTACATTCGAGGGGCGGCGTTTAGGTACATTTGAGGGGCGGCACCAACATTCGAGGAGGGCCGGCATCTACATTCGAGGGGGCGGCACTAACATTTGAGGGGGCGGCACCTGCATTCGAGGAGGGCCGGCACCTACATTCGAGGGGGCGGCACTAACATTTGAGAGGGCGGCACCTATATTCGAGGAGACAGCGCCTACATTCGAGGGGCGACATTAACATTTGAGGGGGCGGCACCTACATTTGAGGGGGCGACACCAGCATTCGAGGGGGCGGCACCTACATTCGAGGGGGCGGCACTTACATTCGAGGAGGGCCGGCATCTACATCCGAGGGAGGGGGTGGCACTAACATTTGAGGGGGCGGCCCGCGGCACTTACATTCGAGGGGGCGACACCTACATTCGAGGGGCGGCATTTAGGTACATTTGAGGGGCTGCACCAACATTCGAGGGGATGGCGCCTACATTTAATGGGCGGCGCCTACATTCAAGGGGGCGGCACTTACATTTGAGGGGGCGGCACTTACATTCGAGGGGCGGTACTTACATTCGAGGGGGCGGCACCTACATTCGAGGGGGCGGCACCTACATTTGAGGTCTGAGGAGGCGGCAACTACACTAGATAGTTGAGGGGTGACTATTGCCTACAATTACATGATGGGTAGGGCTTTTTTGAAAGATGGTGCCAAGTCAACGGGTGGCATAGAGTTTTGGGATGGCTCAGGGTTATGGGGGCGGCACCATTCGAGTCGCCCGCCGATTTATTTCAGTTGTAAAGTTGGGGTTGCACAAACCGATGTTGGGGTTGCACAATTCAAAGTTGGGGTTGCACGTGCAACCCCAACTTAATATAAAAATCCACCCCTGACTGGGACGTATGATTGCGAACATTCGTTGCAGTAGACTCACGTTGATATACCTAACGCGAAAATGCCTGTCGATATTGTTTACTAAAAAAATTGAAATCCGTGGCCCCCATAACAGAAAAAGACTTAAAGCACAGGGCGACAATATAGGTTGTCGACGACAGGTTAATTAGATTCTCATCACGTTTTTTTCTTCGGAGATTCTTTGCACTTATGTTCTGTATTCGGTGTCAGGAACAAGAGTCAATTTATCTACCAGCGGAGGAGCCGATTATTGGGGGGGGACAAAAGATAGTATGTCCCACCCAACATTTTGGTTGGGGGGACATGTCCCACCCGTCCCCCCCGGTGGCGGAGCCCTTGGGCTATCTTAGGCTTCATTTATTTGTCTCGGGAGCTTTCGAAAGACGTCTGCCTTTCTTCTTCCGAGCCCGACTGGCGTCTTAGCTCTATTTATTTGTTTCGGGAACTTTCGAAAGACGTCGTTTCACTAAAAAAGCTGCCCCTTTACCCCGTTTCACTCAATCAGTCTACGTGTATTATATTCTGCAGTGCAAAATGCCGTATACCAACAGTCATTTGTCAAATCAAGCTCTAAACAGAACGACCAAAGAACAGAGACGCGAAAACCAGAGGTCCTACCGAGATTTGAACTCGGATCGCTGGATTCAAAGTCCAGAGTGCTAACCATTACACCATAGGACCAGATACTCGTGGAACGAAAATGTAGCTTCATAACAAAGTGATCCGGCTTTTTCCAATCGTTTCAAATTCTATCTGAAATTTGTTTGTGAATAAATGGTGATCAGAAATATATGCTATGTTATTTGCATTCCAATTTTACAATATTGACGCGTACCATCATTATTTTGCCGCATATTTTCGGTTCCCCTTGGTTCCCTTTGGTTCCCTCTAAAAAAAACCTCAAGAGCTATTCTTCAAATGGTTTTTATCGACAATTTCTAACTAAATCAGCTTAAAGGATGTATGAATACGATAATACGATAAAATGCTAGCCATAAATGAATTTTTGAACAGAGTTGAGTGCATTATATTGAGCCTACAAACCCTATTCGTAAAATGTATTCACGATTGTGCCCCTACGGCGCATGCTTTTGGCGGGAACCGCTGAAAACTTGAAGTTGAAGTTGAATTTGTGAACTGGAAACAATTAAAAGGATTGGAACTCAGACTCAGAAACATAACATACAAGGGGATAAAACGCGATAGAAGCAATTAAAAGGATTTTGGGTGAAGGTAAGGGTGCTTTTTGATCATATTTTCAAGAGAAAAGGAATGTAAGTTGAACTGGAATTCAAAAATTCAAATTTTCATTTGAATTTGAATTCATTTGAATTTTCTGAATTCAAATTTTACAGACCATAGCAACAGTGTATAGCATACTGCCAAAAATAACCTAATAGGGCTAGTTCTCTATATACTGTGATGGGGCTGTGGCTGCCCTGCACATTCTTGAATTTTTGTTTCATTTTGTTTGCTAGTCTCACCTATCGGCTATCGCCACCACTTTCATTTCCGTTATTTGAACTCAAACCAGCCGTTTAAAAATCAAATCAGTTTTGCTACGAATGATGTTTTTGGAAAAATGTCAATGTTTTGGACAAAATCACAAAATTGCTGTCCTTTAACAAATGTATGAGTATCATTCTGATTTCTGTATGTTGATTGTGGGTGGACATCAACCTTGGGACGCCAGTGGAAACAGGGCGCTGGAGGGCATATTAGTCACGTGACATTTGGAATTTCTCCCCCTTCTTGGGCCTTCTACATACTAAACGTCACGTGTGATTTATGTGAATATCATGAACCTTGATCAAATCGCCCCGGGCGCCCTGTTTTCACCGTCGTCCCAACCTTGGACCCACTGGCTTCCAAGCTTGCTATGCTGTTTGTTATTGGGGTGCAATATGAATAAATAAGGATGCTAATGGCCAATGGGACATAGTGTCACAGAGGCCAACCGCCAAGGTACATGCCTACTCTCCAAGTACCTACATATCTATGCAAGGTAGTCTGAACTTACCTTAGTGGTGTTATCTTCCACTAAGAGACAGCTTTCCCAGCATTTGCTGGCTGGTCAGCTGATGCATTTTGGGGATGATAACTTTGAATGAAAGACACTGGCTAAATGACCTGTTAGAATTGAGAAGAGGTTTTGTGCAGACACTTTGGCAATGTTTGTCAACAGCCCATAAATGTATTCATTAATATGTACTCATCCATTCTATGATTACCCATGGCAACCACCCACTTATGCTGTGAGAACTGAGAGCTGTGCCTCTTGATGTGTATGTGATAGATAGGATAGGCATGTATAGCATATGGTAAGGGTAAGCTTTTTTTTTAATTTATGTAGTTTTTATTGGCTTGGTGTCATTTCAGTTTAACTAAACTAACATTTGTGGCCCAGGAAGGTCAGCATTGGTATGGCTACTTGAGTCATAGGTGACCACATAACCCAACCTAGCCCTACCTAAACTAACCTTTCACCTACTTACATCTTACTTACACTTAGGTACTACTTACAATTACACTAGCCTACACCTTCCTAGCAGCTACCTAGCAGCTTAACACCCAAACTTCAGAAGCAAGTAAGGCACTTCTCTGGAAGATAATAAAATAATTGATGCAACTATATATGCCAGTTTACAATTCAGATTGGAATGTCCTGATACATTATGGCATAGAAATGTTTCCTTAATATATAGCTCACAGACTTGACTAGCTGGATCTGCCCTGAGAGACAACCCATCCCATTGTATGTCTTATTTGAAGGGCAGTACTGAAATGTGACTTGAGTTCCTGGATGAATACCTAAGTGGCTGATTGCTGTGTTATTTATATTCCACTTTTTACTGCTCAGTTTCGAGTTTCAAAACTGATATTTCACATGGACATTGTACAGTTTGCATGAGTGTTTCTGTATTTTGCATCGAACTATGTTCTAAACCATCCTTTGTTTCTCAGTGCACCTGGATACGCCAGGCATGGCATCGACGGGCTGGACGCGTGTCACCTCTGCCGCTGGGGTGCCCTATTACGTGCACCACGGAGACCAGCGAACCTCCTGGACACACCCGCGACTCACTGCCGCGCTACAATGCATCCAGGAGTGCGCGTACGTTCGCTACGCCGCCTACCGCATGGCGGTAAAGTGTCGCCATCTGCGCCATGTTCTGCTGCTCGATACAGTCACACTGGCTGACGTCAAAGCGGCGTTCGCTGCGCACGGTCTGGCCGCCGCTGGTGCCGGCGAGGCGCTCAACTGTGACCGCGTGGCGGAGGTACTGGAGACACTGCTGGATGTGGGAGACGGCTGCGCGCAGCAGCGTGCTGATCCCCTGCTGAGCGCCGCTCTGACAGTGCTGGACCGGCGGCGGGCCGGCGCCATCACCACTGTCTCGCTGAAGCTGCTGCTGGGCCTGCTCTGCTCGGGCCGACTGACGGAGCGCTACCGGTTCATGTACGCCGAGCTGGCCGATGTGGGTGATGTGCTGCCACCAGCACAGCTCGGTCGACTGCTCGAGGTGGCCGCTGCGCTGGCCGAGCTTCTCGGCGAGCGCGAGGCGTTCGGTCGTCACCTGATAGCCGGCACGGTGCGCTCTTGTTTCGGCCGAGGCGGCGGCGCGGTGGGCGCTGGAGCCAACTCTCGGGACAGTCTGATGGTGTGGCTGCTGCGGGAGCCACAGATGCTCGTCTGGGTGTCGACTCTGTACCGCCTGGTCTCAGCCCAGGCCGTGGTGCACAGCGTCAGCTGCGGGGTGTGTGGTGTGAAACCGGTAGTTGGACTGTGTTACGCCTGTCTTCGCTGCCTGAATTTCTACCTCTGCCAGGAGTGCTTTTTCCGGGGGTTGACGAACCGCGGTCACAAGCAACACCATCCTCTTCAGGAGTTCTGCGCTCAGTGGAACCGCCGTCAGAAGACGCAGGCGCTGTTCAGGACACTGTGGAACAAACTGAGCGGCAAGACGGGCCGGAAACCTGCCACTCTGCCGCCGGCCAAAGTAACCGTCGACTCAGCGCAGCAGACGTCAATGGCTGCGCCTGTCGCTGGAAGTGAGGACCCGCCGTCTTCGTCGTCCTCCGAGGACGAGGAGGACGAGGACCTGTCATCTCGTACGCTCCTAGACGGCACGGTGTCATGCGACCCGCAGCTGGATAGCATCCTGGGCCACCTGGAGATGGAGAACGGTCGACTGGCCGGCGAGCTGCGCCGGCTAAGGCACGTGCTGCCGCCCGGCGAGCGACTCCCGGAAGCCGAGCAGCAGGAGATGCACTGCCAGCTGCAGCGGCTCCGCTCGCTGGTGCGACGCCGGCGCGGTGGCAGGCGACAGAACCAGCCGCGTACACCGTCCCCGCCCCCGCGGCCGGCACACATGCAGTCGACGCCGATGCCACGTTTCTCGCAGCTGAGTCCGATCGCTCGTGTGCCCGGCTCACCGGTAGACGGCGCGCTCAGTCCGATTCACTCCGGAATAGAGGCGCCGGCGTCGGTGAGTCCCCCGCTGCGTCGCGACGGGAGCCGCCAGGAAGCGGCCGACGCGCCTACAGACCAGCACGCTACTCTAGTGCCTGGTGATGAGCACCCCGCGGAGCCCGCTGCGGAGTCCGGCACCGCCAGCCCCGAACCACTTACCTTCAGCGCTCATCTGCCCGATCTCACCGAGTACTCTCTATCAGACCTTGCCGACGTGACCGGTCTGGCCGACCCCGAGGAGCCGGCCGCACCCGAGCCTCCGCTGGCGCCCTCTGCTGCGGTTCAAGACACAGAGGTGACGCTGGCGGCTCTGCGGGCCGAGCTGACGCCACTGGAGCGGACGGTGGAGCGCGGGCCAGAGCTGTGGCCGGCGCGAGCGCTGACCGGTACCGTGCCGCTGCAGACCGCCGGGGAGCTACTGGAGCTCCTCGCCGATCTCGAGAACCTCTGTGTGTCCGTACAGGGCGGCGTGGATGGCCGCGTCTAGTGGACGAGGGGAGCATGGAATACTCGTGTTAGGTGAGTGGTGATTGACGACGTATGCTAATGGCTTGTAGTTGTAGCTTAGATGGAAAAAAACACGCTTTTTAATGATATTGAGGAGCATAGGAAGTGTGCTGTGGGAAATGGAAACAACTGCATTCACAAATATTTGCACATGTCTTGCCACGTGGCGTGCTAAAGACAATCTTGCCTAATTAATTTTACCCGTCCCACTAAGCATTCCATAACTTCTACTGAGCCATGACATGTTCGTGACAGCGATAGCACTTCGTGATCTATATGCAGCTCTTTTCGATAGTTTGTGTAAAAGATTTAAATGTGTATTGCAGGGGCGTCGACTCCGGGTTTTGTGGGACCCTGGCCCCCTTGATGTGACTGGGGACCGGCCCCGCACGTACGGTACTTGAGATCCCCACTTTTGATGATCCCAGGTTCTTGTCTGTCAAATGTCCTATATTTTAAGTTTTTTTATAATAAAACACTTGACTTCTTTGAACTCTTTAAAATCGTTCTAGGTAAAATTCGCCACCAGTAATTAGAAGCACGGGATAGGATTGCCATACAATGTATAAGCACTGAACAGTGAACACTCCGGTTTTACGTGTCCGGGAAAAGTACGTCGGTATCTCAGGGACTATCCCACCTTCTAAAATGTTGTTAAAACCAGTTAAATTGTGCCCGACTTTATAGATTGGATGACCAGGAACACGGTTCTGGCATTTATTTTTCATTAAACATCTTAGACTTCCCATATTCCAAACACAAACTTTCAAATATGTGACGTCACAGCCCAAAATTACCTCCTTCCCCAGGCCACATTACTGTCATAAAGCTGATTCTTTTTACTCTGTAGGCACCACAACAAAGTTCAGACCAAGTTGTAAGCGATTTTTTCAACGAACAAACCCATTTAAATCAGAATGACTAAACGAGGTGACGTCACACTAACGGTCGCTCCATGTTGAAGATTGGGCCTTGTACAAGGCCCATTTTCAAATGAAGGGAACGAATTTCTTCAACACCAAGAGGCCGCGGGGGTTGCAACCTAGATATATAGTGGTTTCTGAACCTCGCCGCAAACTTGGCTATCTCAACTCAAACCCCATGTTAAAGGTGGGATAGTCCCTTTAATTCGGGTTAGCTTATAATGCAGAATATCGCGCCCTGTGTTGAAATTTCGAGCAATGGGCGCTAAGGTCAATCATCAGATCAGATCGGCATCAGATCGAGCTACATACATCAGATACGAGTTATAAAGTTCTGTTGTCTTCCTTCGCATCAGTGAAGCGATGCACATTGTACAGCTACGAGGTAGCTGCAAGATGACTGATATCATTTGAACTTAGATAAAAATATTTCACTGTTGGACTTGTTTTGAAAATAAAAATTTCGTACGATGTACGATGAACATACAGTTTGGAATTTCGAAACGAAACCTATTGAGCGGCACTCATTATAAATGGTAATACACTCTAAAAGTCACTCAATGACATCACGGCACCATTACTCATACCCTGCTGCCAGGGCGGATGGCTGGCGGACCACGAGACATGGTATTGGTCTTTGACCGGTGTTATGGTATACTTCCCCCTCCCCTCCCCTCCCCACCAGTCACCGCACGTGCCTCCTCTCCCCGTCTCCCACGGCGTCCCTTGACCCGGTCCCACGCCTCCCCTCCTCTCTTCCCCTCAGCGCCCCTCGCTCTGCCCCGCGCGGCCCGCTGTCGGCTCGTCCGCCGCGGTCGGTCAGTCGGTGGTGCGCGCTGCGGGGGTCGAGTCGCCTGCGCCTTCGGCTCCGAGCCAAACGGTCCGTGATCCGCCAGCACCATGCCTGAGCCAGTTATTTACTCGGTGGATGACATCAGTGACGCCGATGCTGACACGCTGCGGCAGAAGATCCTACAACGGGTACAGCAGGATGACCTCAAAGGTAAGGTATGAGGCGCTACGACCTTGAACCTCGTAGTGGGGTGGGCCATGTGTTTTTGTTTAAGTTCATTCCCCGCACATGGAGACCCAGTCAGGCCGGTATGGGGTGTATGAGCGATATTCTGTCATTTTCTACGGTAAGAAACTTTGTTTAGTTGAACGGCATTAAAATGACAAAACTCACCGGGTGGATTGACATTCGACGTCTTTATATCTACCTGCATTCGACGCAACTCGGTCTACATTGCTGCCAGGATTTGCGTTATCAGGGCTTTGTCCGCATATATTATTCGCTGAAGCCCCACCTACTGTGTCGCTGTCCTGACGACTGACGTTCGTGATAAAGGCAGTCTTCTGTGGTGATATCTGTAAACGTGAAATCATATCTGTCGGAATGTTCGAGCTTCTGTGTGTTGCGTATGAGCTGTTTCTCCGCTCATTCGTTTGTATCACCTGTGCTCAGTAGCAACGCTTCGTTACGTAAAAGAGCTTGTCTTTGTCGTGAGTCCTAGCCGTGTGATAAGTCACGGCCTGTAACTAACCACTCCTTGCCGTGGCATTTCAGTGCTGCTTAGCTGACTTACGTGCGCTATTTCCGCCCCAAAGCACGGTGCGGTCCCGATTTGTGTTCCGCACCTCGGGCTGGTGTCAACTGTCAGTTTGCAATGTCAGGAATAGTTTCGACACACATGCAAACTATATTCCAGACCTTTTTCGTCAGGAACATATAACCTTGTCTGTCAATTAGCCTTGTCTGTCAATTAGCCTTGTCTGTCAATGACACTTTTTAGCCCGGCGATGTGCCACAGCCGTGTGCTCGTGGTCATGATTCATGACTCTGGAGTCGTGAGTCGTGACATTGAGTCACAACCCACGCATATTTAGTCTGACCGATGGCACACGCTGCCGCACAGTACCTATCACGGAGTACCTACTCCCGTAAAAGTACTTACACTTCCCCCTCCCGTAACACGACCTAACGATCTGAGCACACTTTCTCCCTCCCGTAAGAGCATCCTTTCCCGCTCTCGTAAAGGATCACTTTCCCGCTACCGTAAGGGTACATTTTCCCACTGACCGCACCTCTCACGGTACTATCACCCGTACTATACCGTCGGGGGTGGGTCCGGGGTGGTGCTGATATCGGGGTGACGCCGTGACGGTCGCCGTGGCCGTCACGTCACCTCAGTGTCGCGGCGCGATACGGGGGGCTGATAGGACATCCCTCCCACGGCCACTCGTGTGTGACCTTGTGACCGCTGGTGGCCATGTGAGGTTAGAGAAGAAAGGAGGGAGGGATGAAGAGAGGAAGACAGATAAGAGTGGAAGACACAAGAGTGTTAACTGCCTGTTAAAGGGACACTCCCACCTTAACATTAGTTTTGAGTTGAGATAGCCAAATTGGTGGCCATGGCCTGCAAATACCGGTTTGGGCACTCACAACATCGAAAAATGTTTTAATTCGAAGATATGGAATTTCAAACTTGCAGTTTTCGGATTCTAAGGGGCTAATGCATTGGAATGCCCCCTTAGAATTTGTGACGTCAGCGGAGATCTAACGATTTTTAAATCTTAGACTAAAACCATCGTTAACACGTGGTGGTATACGCTGCTTTGCGCGCAGCGTCTGCCGCACTTTAAGGCTGCCAAATTATTGCTTCCAAATAAAGTCGCTAGTAACAGGGGAGATCCCAAAAAGTAAACAAAAGTAAAAGCCTAATATCTTGAAAACCAGTGAATATTTTTCGGTGAAATTTGGTAGATATTCGTTTTCGCTCTTTCTGAACCAAGGGACATCACTTTCATGCCAATTCATTAACTTTTTTGAAGGTGGGAGGGTCCCTTTAAGACGAATGCTGACTGCAGGTACTAGTAAAGTCGGATCAATAAAATTCTTGTCTCGGCCTGGATAAGACATTTGGGACCTTTATTTAAAATAAACGGTGACGAGTGAACCTTCAGCTGAAAACTTAACGGTAAAAACGACAGACTTCTGATGATGACAGGGTAGAGTAACTCTTCCTTAGAAATGTGCCACCTCCCCCCCCCCCCCCCAGAAACAGCATTTCGATCAATATAACACCTCAGATAGCGTATCGGTCCGCTTCTCTACTCTGATAGTGTCTGATAGCGAAACCATTCAAGGTCTTTATACTCTCGACAGCGTACCTTGATTGAAATCGCTCGACTTTTGTCGGGTTAAGATGCTGTTATTTTAATTGCATCGCATGTTTTTGAACTTGAAACCTAGATGTTATGGATTGAACGGTCTCAAGCGGTGTAGCAGCTTTGAGCGCAATTCACCCCGCCGAGCTTCTAAGATGTATATGTACCATGTAGGACTACGGCTCTACAAGTTTCGGTGTGATCAGCCTAGTCAGTATGATGTTATTTGCAAAGCGAAACAAAACATCACTGATTACCTGATGACTGACGCCCCTGATTTGGCAGCTGACACGACAGTCATTCAAATACCTACAGCTGAGCAGACTCGTGATAAAACCGGAGAATAGAGAAACAGACGGCTAACCAATTGGCCCATCTTTCGAAAGACTCTCATCGCACTCGTTTATAAATAGGCATGGCACTCGGCTCTCAACATTGAACGCCAAGACACGACTATATATTCCGTGGCCAAGAGCACAATGTGTATGAATAGGATTTTATAAGAGGATCTTCAATGTTCGAGGCACGGACCATCATCTTGTGTGAAAAATGTAATCAATCAAAATCAAAAGCCAGAAAGAAATAAGTCACAGGTGATGGCGGTAATGGTGCTTGAAAAGCAACTAAACATTTGATATTAACCGTTAGGAGTAAAAAAAGCATTACATTTTTTTATTTAATTACGGCATTTCTGCCAACTGATCTCCATTCTACTGGGCACTTTTGCGGCACACTCGGGCAAAAAAAAAATGTCCGGTGCAGCAGTTGGTAAGAAATTCTCAAAGGATTTGAAGAAGGCAAAGGCTTTCTTACAAAAAGAAGATGGATTCCCTGCAATTAGTTTGTACGATCACATGGCGGAAATCGTAACCAAAGTTCTGGATGAACAGATCGAGGATTCGGTAAATTCGATAGAGCAGCTGAGCTTAGAACTGAAGCGGAAACGGTTCTATCAAACGGACACAAATGCACTATTCGAAGATGCTCCTCCCGTTGCATTGGCGGAAGAGGCAAAGACCATGGAGGAACTATTCATTCCAGCAGATAGCCTTGAAGAAGAAAACATCGAAGAGCAGGAAGAGCTCGGAACACTTCCACCAAATGTAATGGAAAACCTGTTCTTCTTTGAACAAGCCGGTCTTGGTCTGCCCCGTCAAGAAGCCTTTCACTTGTCGCTGGCAATCAGGTCGCTGATGCGAGAGACGCGTCTGCAAAAAGTGCGCTTTTGGGGAAAAGTTCTTGGCATGGAGAAGAACTACTACGTTGCGGAGGCAGAGTTCCAGGAAGGCGAAGAACCTGAAGAGGAGGAAGATGCGCCGATTGATGAGGAGCTGCCGGACCTGCCGACGGACGAGGCCATGGACGAACTCGGCGAGGAAGAAGAGGAGAGGGAACCGGCCGATCCCGTCGTCAAGTACACCCCTCCGCCCAAACCTCCTGTCGAACCATACGGCACTGGAGCGAACAAGAAAGTGTACTTCGTGACCAACGGACCAGGATGTCGGTGGGTTCGACTCCCGAACGTCACTCCCACAGAGATCTTTGTGGCACGAAGAATCAAGAAACTCTTCACGGGTAACCTGGACAACCCAGTTTTGACATACCCGCCCTTCCCCGGAACGGAGAAGAACTATCTGCGCGCGCAGATCGCCCGCATCACAGCTGGCACTCATGTCTCTCCGCTGGGTTTCTACCAGTTCGACGAGGAAGAAGAAGCCGACTTGGGGGACGAGGAGTCGCCCCAAAACTGCGTGGAGAACCCAGAGTTCGAGCCGATCCCGGTGCGGGAGCTGGCGGCCGCCGACTTGAGCCAGTGGTGCCACCACACGCTGCACATCCTGCCGCAGGGCCGGTGCCAGTGGTGGAACCCTTCCACTCGAGGGGAGGACGAGGAAGAAGTGGAGGAAGAGGAGGAGGAGGAAGCTCCTGCCGAGCCCGAGGTGGGCCCGCCGCTGCTGACCGCTCTCTCCGAGGACGCCACGATGGAGGGAATGCCGGCTTGGGTGGCCCGCATGTCCTCCCACCTCTCCTCCGTCCACGCCCTGGCAGTCATCCGATCCACGCTCTGGCCCGGAGCCGTGGCGTTCTGCAACGGCAAGAAGTTCGACAACTTCTACATCGGAACGGGACACAAGTTCAGCTCTGCCAACTTCAGTCCGGAGCCGCCTCCGGGCCGGGACGTCTGCTATCCGCCACACCAGGATACCAACCACGCCACGGACCCGACACCGGAGGAGGAGGCCGACTTCCTCGCCGCTCAGCGAGGAGAGGAAGAGGAGGAAGAAGAGGGAGAAGACGAGGAAGATGAGGAGGACGATGAGGACTGAAGTGGGAAGGCAGAGATAATATGATGTGATACTGGTTCACACAGCGGGAGGGTAGCGCTGAGCTACAGTCCAACGTTATTACGGGATCTGACGATGCCCGAGAACAGCCCGACAACCAAGGCGTTAGAATTTACGCAAAATGATGCGGCTGTTGCGACCTGTGATGAAGTGGGATGGGACTAGGAGGTAGAACTGCTGGGCTAGTCACCCGTCACTGATGACATTGATAAGTGATAAGTGATAAATAACATGTTCGAGATAACTTTGTGTGAAATACAGGATTAAAGTTACACCCTTTTTCTCACCGCGTAGTAAAAGGCAATGGTACCTATTTCGACAAAGAAAAACAAAACTTGAAGGCGTATATCTCCAGTAAAGATATGCGATTCTCCACATCGGCACACACAATGCCCAACATTGAAGCTACCGCCCAGTGATGATAAGACCAAATACAAACGTTTGCATTTACAGAACAAAAGTTAAAGTCACAAATTACCGTCACATGAGGGCATACCTATATCGTCTTGGATAAATGAATACCAGTAAAACGCCTTTTGGGCGAAGGACGAGCGAGCGAGATAGTGAGCCCTGCACGTGCAGAAGGGCGAGAGGGTACTTCCAACGGGCCTGAGCAAAGCACCCTTCTAACCGGTCGCTAATGGTGTGCCAAATTTGAACGCCATTGGCCCAGCCGTTCCTGAGATCTGGAAGCGGCATTCTGCACGTGCGCACGTGCAAACGGGGTCCGAAATGACTTTTGCACGGCACCCTACTAACCGGTCCCCAACCGTGTAGCAAATTTGAGCGCAATCAGCCCAGCCGTTCTCGAAATCTGGAAACGCCCCCTGCACGTGCGCACGTGCAGCAGCACCTGACCCTAACCACAACACATGGGAATTGTCGGAGAGCTCACAAGCGTGGGTCAGCCAGATAGAGAATGAATGTATTGAGCGACAGAACAGAGTTTATATACCAAAACAGTTGGGCGTTGGCCCGCACTTCTTTAGGCGGTGGCCGAAACGGGGAACACGATGATTGGCTGACAAACGACAAGAGAAGCAATGCGATTGGTGGACCAAAAGGTTACAGCGAGGCTGGCGTGATGATAATCAATACCGGGGGAGCTGGGCCACGATGCTGCGGTTTTTATATTGTCCGACGCTCGTATTGATCTGGTCGGACAAAGCGAGCAGTACTTATACAAATCAATATTGAGGTAGCATATAGCGAAATATACCGTGCGACACATGTCACCCTCCCTATGAGCCGACGACAGGAGGCATGACAATAATCAGCACGTAAAACGTACGGGTAATACATTTTAAGATGAACGTATTTGAAAATGGTATGAACATGTAATTAGGTGTCATGGCAATATCACCTACTACCTGCCACGGTGGCTTGAATGGTTCTTCATGGTCCTTTGACATATATGTTGAATAACACTGTAAAGGAAAAGAGCCATTGCCGGGACGTTTAGCGTTCCCGTCAAGGTCGTGGAGCTTACGGTTGGGCGGCTCCTCTGCTCTCTGGCAGGGACCGCTCCTGGGCATCTCTGGCCCTCGGCATCTCTGGCCGAATATCAATTCAATTGATTTTCAGTGAATTGACCATGATATTCACGTATTTAAGTGTTCATACGATTTACAAAACGCTTGTAAGACTGATTGCCAAAATGACATGGGATGTGAACAAAATTAAACACAGCACTGTAGTAGCCCATTTCCCGGTAATTGTGGAGTACGTTATGTACCACTTTAGACAACATGGGTTCCAATCACGGACGAAACGAAACGTATTTAACCATTTAATCGCCTGGATAATCTTGATGCACTGTAACCACTGTAACACAATTTCCAAAGCACGATATCACTGGCACTTCGTAGACTAAACAACAAAAGTCTGCCATTTGTAATAGGTCTTGTCGGTTATCTTAAATTTGAAATATCAGATTTGTGTCTTCAATTTAGCGCTGTGATTTGCACTCCGTCGATTTTCGTTGTTGTTGATGTTGGTGGTGGTGGCTTTTCCTCCATGAGGTTGAGGATATCGCAGCAGGTTGGTGTGCCATGCGCTGTCGGCGAGCTCCGTTGAGGTTTAATGCAGCTCGTTTTTGGACTTCGGTCTTGCATAAGACAGATTATCTTGTCGGGGCAGAGCTGAACACTGTATACGGTGTCGCTAGAGTATGACGGTTCCAGAGTAGTCACTGGTCAGCACCCTAGTCGATGACGTGACGTAGGGGTGACGCACCGTATCGGAGCACGGACGAACCTCCGGTCTGCGGTGTCAGTGCAGATGTAGATGCTGGAGTCCGTTGCGAGGGGCGCAAGTCCCCTCGACCGCCGCTGCCACCATTGTCGGAGAGCTCACAAGCGTGGGTCAGCCAGATAGAGAATGAATGTATTGAGCGACAGAACAGAGTTTATATACCAAAACAGTTGGGCGTTGGCCCGCACTTCTTTAGGCGGTGGCCGAAACGGGGAACACGATGATTGGCTGACAAACGACAAGAGAAGCAATGCGATTGGTGGACCAAAAGGTTACAGCGAGGCTGGCGTGATGATAATCAATACCGGGGGAGCTGGGCCACGATGCTGCGGTTTTTATATTGTCCGACGCTCGTATTGATCTGGTCGGACAAAGCGAGCAGTACTTATACAAATCAATATTGAGGTAGCATATAGCGAAATATACCGTGCGACAGAATGCATTGCCTGGTAGGTGCCTGCCTGTATACCAAGTTTCAGGGAAATCGCCCCAGTAATTACCGAGCTACTGAAATGGGAACAAATTTGGCACCTCTTATTGTTGTATTTTGCACGTGCAGTGGGGGTCACTCACATAGATGAAGAGTATCCGACCTTTGGTAGAAGGGATGCAGCTACCCTGTAAAAATTACCGCAAGACAATCGCTCAAGCCGCTGCTGAGATACGGGCCTCTCAAAATCATTACTTTTGCAAAACTGCTTGAACACCCTTGACTTTTCACGTGGCACGTGCCACGGCGGTCACTGAGATGTATCAAAAGTAGTCAATTACGGGGTAGAAGGGATGGGGCTACCCAGCAAAAAAGACCGCAGGCCATTCGGTCCAGCGGTTGCTGAGATATAAGCCTCTCAAAAGCGTTACAGGCCGGGCCGGGCCGGGCCGGGCCGTTCATACTGAGATTTTTCCGTTATATTGAAAAGACTTCGCTTCGCTCGCTGCGCTCGCTCGCTCGTAATCAAAACGGCAACGTTATCGGCGATGGGATCCATCGCTGTCACAAAATGCGATGCATGAATCATTACAGTATGTCACAGCTCAATAAACACATAAACAGGTCCCCGTGTGTCTCTACAGATCCAGACGGGCAGCGGATTCCCCACGAGACTGAAAAATCATGTGACCGACCGTGATGCGACCTTATGTATGTGACCTCATGTGATTCCCTAGAGTAAACGGTGTCCTTCGACCGACGTCATATGTTTCCCCATAGTAAACGGTGCCCCTCGAATTACATTATAAGTGAGTCCCTAGAGTAAACGGTGTCTCGAGTGACCTCACGTACCCATCTATCCCGAGAACCAGCGTGAAACCCTCTCCTCCGTCTTGCAACCTCACCCCTGTTTCTGCCTAACCGAAAGATCACCATGCACTTCTCATGCCATCACGTACCCCGTTTTTCTCTCGACAGATCTCGTGGACCCGGTGGACCTCCGTCGAATCCGCACCGACCCCCTCTGGTGCAAACGGTTTATGGCACACGGCGACAATGTCATGGATCAGGCGTTCAAGTTCATGGTCGACTCACTCAAATTCCGAAAAGAAATGAACGTTAATGGTAAGTGTTAGTTTTAATGAGGTTGTGTTTCTCGTTGGCCAGCCGGTATTCGCACCGAATTACCTTATGCATCACCACGTCAAATTCAGCCACGCAATTCGACGCCTAGCTAATGTCGATGTCCATAAAGAATGCCTCCTTCATGCAGCTTCCGGTTTCCTCGAAACGTACATTTTTTCATTGTGATTTCAGTAGCTGTATACATATTCACACAGCGTATGGTGGGATGTAGAATGGACGCCGTCTTTCCTCATTGAGACTTCGCTTGGGTCCAATGAGACTTACCTAACACACCGCTCTCGATGTGGTGTGTTAGGTACTCTCAGTGCGGTGTGTCGCGGTAGACACATCCCTTTCAATCGTTGCACATCAGTGACGCTTCACCTCCCTCTTCCTCAGCACTGACACTACAGTCGGTGGACCAGGCGCTCTTCAAGAAGGGCGTCATGGCTGCCCACGGCCGGGACAAGGCTGGCTGCGCGGTGGTCATCTTCAGCGCGCGCCTGCACGAGCGCGTCTCCGGGGCGCAGTTCGAGGAGGTGAAGAAGTTCCTCGTCTTCTGGCTGGAGAAAATGGAGAGGTGGGTGACATCACAGACGAGATTCTTGTCTCAGCCACCAGCCGCGAGCTGTGTATTGTGTAGTGATAAAGGATCAATCAGTACCGGCCTACATCGTATTATATGCAAATCGCTTGTCTTAGTAGTTAGTACGCAAGAACGAGACAGTTGTTTACAAACGTACTGGCCGAAGTACTGCAGTGTTTAAACGTTTGAAATTCCCACCATTGTCCTTAAATCTAGTCACAATTCATGCGGCTCTGACAAGGGAGAGAAGACTCATCAAAACTGGATAGATACCCGGCAGGCGGCAACCTTCTGAACACTGAACAGCATTGGCAACATAAGCTCCGCTTCCTGATACGCTCCCCTGCTTCAATTCACCGTTTTTCATCGTATCCCCTACAAGTGGCTTATCTAGACCGGCGGCGGGTAACCATGTGGTTTTTACCGAGCACCTGTGATAGCCTTGGCCGATCATAGCGGCACTCCGGTCAGCCAGTGCCGCTGGGGAGGGGGGGGGGGCGATATCTGCCCTGCTATCGGGGCGATGGGATGGCCCAGGCCGACACCGACCCGCCTAGTGGCGGTGGCCGAGCTACGTGAACATCCCCCCCCCCCCCCGTGGGATAAGCGATACCCTGTAGTGGGATAGGCTGTGATTTGTGAACATGGACATTGGACAGGGTTAGCTGCACCGTCATCAGGCATGCATACAGTTTTGTAGAGAATCACGAATTTGGGCGGCAGCAGTTAAATCAACAACCGAGCGTGATTGGCTATTTCAGGGCTCTATTTGCGATTCACATACCGGCAATGATACCGAGGCCTTGGCAGACCGATTGCAGGAGTGTTTGCGGAAACGATGGATTACGATTGTAAGATTATAGCCGACTTCGTTTTGAATTATTAGTAATTGTACCCGCAACCCTTCACTTTTTTCTTTTCTTTTCCAGGGAAGAGAAAGGGAAGCGGATCACAATGTTCTTCGACATGGGAAACGCCGGTCTATCTAACGTCGACATTCCATTCATCTCCTATCTCATCAACCTGTTCAAGTTCTACTACCCGGACTTGCTGAATGCTATCATGGTCTTCGAATTGCCTTTCATCATGAACGGTAAGATGGTATACAATACTGTTTGGCTTTTGTTGATTACTTATTTTGTTGATGACTAAATGCCTGTAAAAAAAGAACACTTGTAACATTCCCACTAACTGTTCCCGAAATACGTTTACAGTTTCGAAATTGGTACGTAAAGGGTTGCAACTTGCAGGTCTAATAGAAATGCATTGTCACAAACTGTTTTATTTTCTCCAGCGGCGTGGAAGATCGTAAAGAACATGCTTCCCGCCAAGTCTCACCAGCTCATCAAGTTCGTCTCCAAGAAGGACGTGACCACGTTGATACCTCAGAGCTGCGCCCTGAAGCGCTGGGGAGGTGAGGACGATTGGACCTACACCTTCGACCCGGCGGCGTGCGCCATGCCCCCCAACCCATTCCTGAGTGACCAGCCGGACGGTCCCGAGGTCAGCAAGGTCAACGGCGAGCCGGTAGAGGTCAACGGGGTCAGCAACGGTCACCCGGGCCGGAAGGCATCCAACGCGCGGAAGCGGACCAGTTTGAAGACATCCAATCTGCACGACTTTCACAGCATCCGGGAGTCCCCCAGCACAGCTTCTGAGCCGGGCCCGAAGGTTTGTGTTCTAGCGGTTAGCCAGACTATCGTGCTGGTCGTTGTGTTCATGTTTTCCTGCCATGATAAACACAACGTTGGAACTTGTAAAAAGTGTGTCGTGTTGGCTGTATTCGTTTTGAACGTTTGTTTCATAGTCGTTTTTATATCAATTGGATTGCATATACAAAGGACGAGAGGGGAATGCTTGTATGCGATTTTACGAGGTTTTACAATCAACCGTGTCAATCTGATGTTGTGCATCCTTCACGTGCACACTGCACACATCCACATCAAATTCTGTCCATCTATGTTCAGGTTCATTTCGGCGACGAGATCAGTACATCGAGTGATGACCTGTCGGGCAAGATGCCATCGGACAGCACCTCTGCAGAGCTCGGTACGTCAAACCGGAGCACACAGTCCCAAAGTGTAAACCGCTTCTTGGTGGCTTGAGTCATAAGCCAGTCGGTGTCTGGTTGCTTGTGTCTCTGCTGAGGGCCGGCATACGGAAGAGTGGAGAAGCGATGAACGATGCTGATTGAACCATGTTATGAACAACGAAACGCTATTGTTCCCCAGTTTCATGAGCTGAACTGTTCGAAAGGCATCCACGGCGAGGTTCTTGTGACGTCGGGACCCCGTTTTCAGGAGGGATGCTGCAGGTCACCCCCGGTGACGAGGTGTGGTTTGGTACCGGCTCATCGGGTGTCAAGAGGACGGTCACCCTGGTCAACATCCGAGGCGCTCCAGTCGCCTTCAAGGTAGGACCTTCAAGATACTTCCTGATAAATGAGACCGGGAAGCAAAACGCCCCTTCAGTAGAAAGATAACCTCTTAAGGATATGAATGAAGCGGATTAAGCTCCGCGATCGAGCGTATTAAGCCTCTCCATCGTGCATGCCCAATGGCTTAGTGCTGGGTCATAAACGACTAGCTATTGAATCTCGCAATGATAAGACTCAGTGAAATATGTTACGATCTTGGTCTCGCAAGTCGTATACCATTCGACGAAGCAGTCGTCACATCCATTTCTGCGCACTCAAACCAGTCTCGCGTCCCACCGGATTCGCCAGTCGTCGATGACCAATACAGCCAGCGCCCCCTGAGAATCCCAAACGCCCTCTGTTTTCCAGGTGAAGACAACCTCGCCGGAGAAGTTCCGCGTGCGTCCGAGCAGCGGTGTGGTTGGCACCGGCCACCGACAGACTGTGGAACTGCAGCTCTGTGACGGTGTAACCGCCCAGCATGTCATTACCGATCGGTTCCTGGTGGTGGCCGCGCCAGTGGCCCACGAGAGGGTGCCCGCTCGCGACATGGCCCGTCTCTGGAGGGTAGGTGTGTCCCTCTCATCTGATCATATCCCCGCTGACGGTGCATGTTTTAGGCCTCTGAGACATGTTGGCATGTCCTGGACTGCCGGTAGTGTGAAAGCTGTCATCGTTCCAATGTGCAAACCAGACGCGTGTGTATAACAAACTGAACTTCGACCCTGACACTGATCGTGGATGAGTCTTCCGTTACTCATCACAAATCTGCCGAGTAAGCTGTCGATCTTGCAAAAAGCGCATCGACTTCCCGTGACACCATTCCTCCAAACTTGACGTAACACTCATTACAGCATAGTATGCAAGCACGCATTGTCATCATAATGATGACAGAACGCGATGAACATCACGATGCAATGATTACATCGTGACCCCATTCCTCCATTAGCATTGACCCCTTCTTCACTTCGCGCGTGCCTCGAACTGACCGTTACCGTTCCTTATGCTCAGAGTCTGCCCAGTGACGACAAACAGGAGCTATGCCTCCGCTGCTCCGCGGCACCATCACTAAACGACCCCATGGTGGTGATGGTGCGGGGTCTGGGCACCAAGCTGGAGGCCGTCACCAGTCAGCTGGAGAAGCAGCAGCAGCTGCTGAGCCGTGCTGAACAGCAGTACGCCAGCGCCCGCGGACGGCTGGCTGCCGCGCTGGCCGCCCTCGCTGCCATGGCGGCTATCAATATCGCGCTTGCCTTCTCTGCTGGCCAATGTGAGTAGTAAAGTTTAGTATAGTATACATAGTTTAAAAAGTACTGAATTGATTACAACAGTAATTGTAACTTGTAATTAACATTAGATATATTGTAATTCATTTGTACGACAGTAGTTGGCTGAGGGAGGGGAGGGGGAGGAAGAGGATGGACTGGTGCAATGTTTCATTGCTCATCGAGAAAAATGTTATTGTTCCCATTTACCTCGGTATCATATCGCCCGATATTCATCAACTAACCACTGCTCGTCATTTCCAGGTTGACCCTGGATGAAGTGCCAATCGAACTACATCAGCTCCAGTTCCAGCGCTGCATAGAAGCTAGCCTAGATGCTTCCAAAGTCTGCTCCAACTTCATTGAGAAGCGACGTGACGGTGTTGAGCGTCACAAAACCGATGTGTTGCGCTCAAAGCGTGGGCAAGGCAACGTTCGGTGTCACAAGTACAGATACTAGTCCAGAGTCGTGAATGAACAGATACATATCCGATATAATATGTGAGACGTCGCCGTGCCGTATTGTGGACGTAGAACAATGTATGAGATTAGGTCGGGACGACAACTACGACCATCTATGCCATGGGTCGTTGTGAAGTCACTCCAATGGAGTGCCTTGAGGTAAATATCGCCTCGTTCCATGCCGCGTTAGGCACCCAGATGTCGGCCCCGTGCCGCGGACTAAGAACGAGCTTAGACTATCGGGCGATTCTGATGGACCAACTGCGCCCTGTCATAGAAAGATAATGGTCGAACTGCTAGGAATTCGTCTGGCCTGGCCATATGCCATAGTTGTGATGAGTGGAAGCCAGATAATGGGCGTTGGGAGATCAGGCATGGAAACGGAAAGCGGGTATGTAATACAAAGTGAATGTCAATTTGGGGTGTATTGCAGCAAGTATAAATGGACATCAGGCGCATTAGGCACATTCGGCAAGGGCTATGACTGATAACGCTTACAAAGCAATGATTGAACACGATGTCCTTCTCACGCAGTAAAAGCGCAGTAGTGAGCGAGCCAACATAGGATTGAGGCCTGGACCATCCCTGCTTGTCTGCAGTGAATCCACGGTTGTGCGTAACGCCATGATATTGTAAATGAGAAACCGGCTGCCCCTGTAATGACACCCTCTTTACAGTACACGAATAAATACGCTTATGCATATGCACTTGAAAGACAAGCCACGAACCACTAACACATTGCAATATCCAATACTACCAGCACTTCACTGCATTGGCATAAAAATAAACATTCCACGCAATCCATACAATTATCCATTGCTGAATCATCGCACTCCCCAGCCTGGAAAGACTTTAAACACCGTGCCATCTCTTCACTAGCATGTAGCTGCATGACAACACTGAAGCAAAGTTTTAGCGGTCGTCTTCGCGGCACTCCATGAGCTGTCACTTTCAGTATCGACCCCAGCGCCGAAGGCCGATCAGAGAGGGTGGTAGGCTGCCAACACCGCCTCCCGAGCCTGCCCCGGCGCTTCCAGTCGCAAAGACAGCGAACTCGGCGCCATGGCACGGGTTGGTGGCAGCAGGGGGCACCGTAGGCGCCGTGACAGAGAGGACCCGTGGGGCCCAATGACTGTCAGTGACAAAACTCGTGGGACCTGTGTCAGTGACAAGGTCTGAAAGTATTCCTGGGATCCGATTCAGTGACTTACAGTACCCGTGTGAGTTAAAGTTGAGACTCGAGTCGGTGACAACTGACAGTGACAATACCAGTGGATTTTGACGCAGTGACCCGTCTTGGCGAGTATTTGTGACGATATTATGAGACTCACGATCTCTCCTGTGGCGCATTGAGGCATTTGGTGGCGTTAGCAATGACAATATCAATGACTGCATTACATGATGGTCGCTTTGTGGGTGATTGTGGCCGGGTAAGACTCTAGTTGACAATATCTATGTCTGTGACTATCGTTTGGGGAGACTGTAGTTGATATTGACTATGCCGGTGACTCGGTAGATGACAGTGACAGTTGGTTCAGCGGAGCAGAGAGCCAGCACTGCTTCACTTGCGGCCACTCACACCACGTGTAACCACCGCTAGCCTCAGCAGCAGCGGTGGTTACACCGTCCCTCCTGTCACCGTGTCGCAGGGAGGGGAGCGGTTTCTGCCTCCTCTGCCTCTTCCACATCTTCGGCCAGAAGCGGGTCAACCGGCTGCTCCGGGAGTCGAACGGGTCCTGTGGGAGATGAAGATAGTGTGAGGTGCGGGGTAAATAAGGGTCAGGAAGGGGGAGGGAAGATGGAAAGAAAAAAGACAGACGCTCAGATGGAGAATATGGTAGAGAAGAGAGCAAGTCTCTATTCGTTAATGGGGATAAAGCGGTCGGATGGAGACCCAAGGGACACTTATCATGGGACAATGGGTTTGGTTCGCGCCAACGGCAGTGTTCAGCTCCAAAGGTCCTATGCAAACCCACGATACAAAACAGAGACAATGAAAGCAGGGATAATAGAATATTCAGGTCAAAGGGCAATGAATCAGTGGGAAAACGCGATACCCTGCCGCAGTGCAGCCCAAGCAAAATGTTAACCAAAGCAAAGAATAGCAGCACTGCAGCTGGGTAACAAAAGCGCATAGCAAGTGTTATTTATATGATCTTTACTGAAATATCAGGACCAGGGCTGCGGAGTCGGAGTCGGAGTCGGAGTCGGAGTCGGTCGGAGTCGACAGTTGTGACTGGAGTCGGAGTCGGAGTCGGAGTCGATTTTAGAAACCCGAGCCGGAGTCGGAGTCGGAGTCACCGAAAATCTGTCGACTCCGCAGCCCTGCTAGGTCTGCGGAGTCGGAGTCGGGAGTTGGAGTCGGTCGGAGTCGACAATTCTGCCCGGAGTCGGAGTCAGAGTCGGAGCTGGTTTTTGAAAACCGGAGTCGGAGTCGGAGTCGGAGTCGCCGAAAATCCATCGACTCCGCAGCCCTGATCAGGACTCCTGCTTAAAAGCAGCCTTAGGTTGACTTGTATCTTAAACTTATGGGAGTCAGAGTAACTTAGAAGCATACTTGTGTTATAGCAAAGTCAGCCACAAGTACCTAGATTGGAAGCGCATAACCAATGTTCCATTCATCTTCAGAACTGATTTCAGAACCTACATAAAATGTGTACAGCATGCTCAGGAGCAGGACTCAGTTCACAAATACAATATACCGCATAACGAGCAAAAGCGCATGCAAAACCATGCCACATTCCCCGTGTATGAATAAAACATGGCATCAATTGTACAAAAAAAAACTTGCATGTGCAGCCGTTATTCGGTACCATCAAAGCGGCTTACCCACTAAACATTCGTGCAAGCCGTGCATGTAGCGCCAGTGTTCCCATCACCACTACCACCTGGGGCAGTAGCATCGGCAGAAGCAGCAGCACCATCCCCATCACCGCGTGCCCGCAGCAGGCCACAGCAGAGGCCGTGGCCGGCGCACGGCACCGGCCTCAGCCACTCACTGCCGAGCCAGCCGCCCAGCCGGCGGGCCAGCGATGCATGCAGTCGGCGCAGAGCACCTGAGACGCCGGACGGCGGCTCTAGCTGGGTAGACGTGGGAGGTGGGTCGACCGGAGAGGGCTCGTCGTCACCACCACCGCCGCCGCCGCGCCGGCCCGTGTTCACCATCTGACCGCCGAAGTAGCCTGGCGAGAGGTGGGCCACCGGTCATTGGAGACACGAAACAACGGTCAGGGTCAGCACGACGATGAAGGAGGATAACCAGACAACTTGACAGCGGCAAGCACCGAATATTCCAAACGCGGCGGTACCAGAGAACACTCACAGCGCACACAGAAGCAAATGACGAGCACTCGGCATTTCTGCATCATAAAACACTAAAAATCGACACAAATCGGACAAATGCTGAACTTTCCCAGAAATATCGACAAAATTGTCGACCACTCACTCTCATGCACAAACGGCGGCACCTATCGGTATCCACAGCTCTCTCACACACTCAGACATACCGATCACTCCACCGCCAACCGCCGCCACGCTGCCGACTTTAGCCCCGACCATCAGGCCGAGGGGACCGGCCACCAGTCCACCAAGCAGGGCGCCCGCCACCGGTGCCACGCCGCCGCTGAGCCGAGCCGCTGCCGCCAGGTGTCGCGCGCCCTCTGAGACATTCACCTGCGCGGTGGAGACGTTCTCCTCCACCTGTGCCACCTGCTCACGCTGCTCCTGAAACGGCGAGGAAGGGGCGTTAGAGAAACGCGACACTGGAGCTCAAATCTATCGGACGTTTGAGCCTGACGGCTACGCGTTCTAGCCCACCAACAAGAAGAAGGACAAGCAAGACGCTATTGTTTGAGTGATAATTCATAACTGAACAAAAAGTCGTCATTAGAGGTATAATAGTCGTTTCAACAGACACAGTATAAAAAAGAACCATAGGATAAAATATTGCCTTCTTACAGCAGTCATTGTGGCAAGATCGGCGAAAATCTCGTGCAGGTCGGAAGCGTCGCGCTCGAGGCTCTCGTAGGCGGCCAGCTGGTCTCGGCGGTGTTCGAGCAGCTCCTGTTCATTGAGAACCAGCTGCCGCTGCAGCAGCTGCTGACCAGCTGTCTCGGCGGATACTGCTTCAGTGTCCGGGACGGCAGCTGCCGCCGCCTCTGCTGCGGCGCTCTCTATGTGCTTCAGAAACTCTGTAGGATACGTCAGGGAATTGGAATAAAATGTGTGGATGTGTTAAAAAGCAAAAGTATAATGGGTTTCAGACAAGGCGCTGTAGGTACCTATACATGTTTTCTTTAATACAGTCGAAGTATACTGCCATTCATCCAAATGACAGTCTCAATGTCTCAATTTTGATGACCTAGGGTGTCAGACTACATTCTGCAAATAATACACAACATTGTGCAGAATATGTTGCTTTAGAGTCATTTTTCCCAGAAATTTAGCTAAATATGGTTACCTTTTGGATTATTCTCTGTGATAATCAATAATCATGTCTAACTCAGAAGCCAATATATTTCGGATGATGTTGCTCAGTGCTCACTGCTCACCCATGCACTTAAATTTTAAGAAAGGCTTTTACATATATGTATTTTTAATTGTTGTCCAGTGACCAAGGGTGAGCAACATCATCCGAAATTTATGGACTTCTGAGTTAGATATTATTATCCCAGAGAATAATCAAAAAGTACTGATACATTATGCAGAATATGATGAGTAAGAAAATGCTGAAACTCACTGGCAAAATCATCTATGGCTTTCTGGGTGTCTTCCCTGACTGGAAGAAATAGCTGCTCGAAGCTGGATTGTTGATTGGTTTCAAGTCTTGATTTGACATTTTCCAGATCCTGTAGAGATTGCTGTAGTTTCCTCAGTGTGGCTGAGGCCCTGAACTGTTCTTGATGTACTCCTTGCCAGTCACATTTGGCTTCCAGCTGTAAGAAAGTCTTGATTGACTCAAAAGGGCAGTGCTGTCCTATGGAACATAACATAATGAATAAATAGATCACAAGCTAATTAACCCGCGCCGGGCCGGGGGGGGGGGGTGTTTGAACACCCCCCCTTGCGGTTTTTCGCAGATATCTCAGGAGCGCCGCCGTTTTTGGCACACCTGTTCGTGCATCTTTTCCGCACATGTTGTGAAAATTTCAGACCCAGGTCACCTTAGGTCAGGTCACCAGGTCACGCCAAGTGAACTCACCTCAGAAAAAATAAGAATGCTCGTCATAGCTACACCGACTGAACGATTGCCTTGAAACTTTCAGCAATTGATTAGAGCAACACTATCTATAAAATGTATATCTCGGAATTTTGATATCGGTGACCTAAGGTCAGGTCAATTTTGCGGCCTCTCCATTATAAGTCAATGGGAGAAAATTGAAAAGCGTCTGTTTTGCACGAACGCTATTCTAGACACTCTCAAACATCGAGATGTAGGTAAAATAGACACACTGAAACAGAAAATGGCAGCTGTGACCCCTCGTTATGTCCCCGAGGTCATCTCAGGTCACGAACAGTATCTAACAGTTTTTCGATGATAACTTCTGATAGAGGAGTGCTAGAGCGCTGAAAACGCCTTAGATGTGTTCGGCTCGACGTTGCGTATCGACTGATATCCAACATGACCATTTCCGGTCAGGTCATGACCTTGACCTGAGGTCAAATTTTCAAGTTGACCTTTCAAGGTCAACTTATAGTTCAATCGACGCGTCTCGACGAGAGGAACACGATGCTGGCAAAAGTAATGTCATAGCTCTTTTGAGTCAAAAGTTATTGCCGAAAAAAACGTTTTTCGTAAAAACGGCTATTTTTGGAGTTTTTTCCCTCTGGAGGCTAAACTGTTGACCTGAGGTCAAATCTGAGAACATTACTCAGAAAGGTCTGTAAAAGGGCTATCGAATGCGTTTTTTTTGCGGCGCTGTAGCTCTATCGGTTCCCGAGATAGCCGTTGGCAGTTTCCAAAATGTTGAAATAGTCAACATTTTACCTTTGGTGACCTCTGGTGACCTGACCTTTGACCTGACCCAAAAAATGACCGAAGTGTTTTCGTCCTTATTTTTGACGTTCTTTCGATTGCCGCTTACCGCGTGTCGCTACATGGCCCAGGAGCCGAGTTAGAAGGGGGGGGGGTGTTCAAACACCCCCCGCGGCCCGGCACGGAATCTCAGAGCACCGGCCTGGCGCGGGTTAATATCATTGTGAAAATTTGATCAAAATAGGTTCAAACATTACCCAGTGAATTGGGTCAACTCATTAGGCCTTAGCAGGTATGCTACCTAATAAAGAAAACAAATTTGATATGAATGGAAGGCTAATTCCTTCAAAAAGCTTACCTTGCTGAGAGCCTGTCTGTGGTCAGAAAACTTCTGTTTGAAATGAGGAAGCTCTGATGTTGCAAACCTGTTCACTGGAATGAAGTAGAGCTTGGAAACGTTGCTACCTGTCATTGGCTGAGACATCACTATTATCCCTTTGCTGAGGACAGAAAAACACAATGCATGTCAGTTGTCACTTCCATTTTGCTTCATAATGTTAGTGATGATCATCGTAAAATATCTTGACAACAAACTACTTGACTTACTTTTTAAATTTACCTTTTATATAGCTTTACTTTTGCCTCACTTTAATGTCTATCTATACCATTATTGTCTAATACCATTATATCATTATACCACTATTGATACACTTCAATTATCCATGCATTTTGTACGCCACACTGAGAGAACATGTAAATATAAAATAATAATGATAAAAGCTGATGTGAAAAATAGTATCAGGCATGAGCCAACCTAACTGTAACTGATGAGTTCACATTAGCAATTATTTTTGCAGTTGGTTTGACTTGTAGGAGACATAAGTAAATAAAAATATTTGCAGCACATGTTATTTCAGTTAAACTGGCCACTGCAATTAAAAAAACTTATTTTGTCCAACTTTTATCATATCCCCACCATTCACAAACTCCCTCCTTCCTTCCTTAACAAAACACCAATTCAGCAGTAGTAAGTTTCACTGTAATTTATGTGTAACGTAACTACTTCATGCCTGGTATCTTTTGAAATTCAAAGCAACATAACATAAATTCATGGGTTTTCCCTCATATTCATGGCATAGAACATGGTTATGGGTTTTCCAATGTTGCCTTACAGTTAAAGTGGCCACCAGTCTTAGTTAGGATGGTCGGGTTTCTTTAATGCAGGGTAATTAGGCCGCCACCCTCCTCACGAGGCCAGTTATGTGTTTGGGCCACTAAAAAAAAAAAACATGACAGGATCTCTAGCTTGAGATAGTTGAGACCATACTGGGCTGTAGGTAAACAGTAGATTGAGATGCTTTTTCAGTGATTTGGGAGCAAAAAATTGTCCTGAAAAGAGTGGGGAAGAGAAGGAAATAATTTTCATATGGATATGCATTTATCAAATATTATTGTTTTCAATGGACAACCAAATTCAAATTCTGATTTCAATTTGTGGTATCATCCGAATTCCTACAAAATGCAAAACAAACGTAAGCTCGAGCATTGGTGAAAAGCAATAGCCTAATACCTACCTTTTTCACCACTGTGTTTATCAAATTTATGACCTTATTTCATGTAATTCATGCAGAGTTTATGACAAAATTGAGACAAAAAGTAGGTAGGTACATTTTTGTATTTGACAGTCTTTGTATTTGACTATTGTAGCTAGAGCGCCATAATTGTGTTACCCCAAAATAGTTGTGGTTCTAAAACGCAGCCTAAAACCTACCAGGCCTTGAAGCATGCGAAAAACGCTGCGCTAGCACAAATCAGGAGCTTTTACGGCTCAACGATCACCCTAGACGAAGATATTCCATTTCTCGCTCCGAAAAGAGTGCCTTGCAGAGGAATGTGTGCCTTGCACAGGAATGCAGCCACGTCATCGTCAGCCAATCAGCATGCTGCTTACAGCTAATGCAGCATGCGTAGGTTTGAACTACGCAATATGATTGGTCAACGCGTAATGAGCTTCCGCGTCAAACATTATTTTACCTAGAATATAGTTCGTCCTATATTAAAATATAGAAAATAATTGTTTTTACAAAAAGGTTTTATTTTATTTTCTGATCATTTTGAGCATAAAAAATCGTAAATCCATAGCAAAATACTAATTTCAGGAAAGTGAACTGTTTGAACTGTTGAAAGTAATGTGTATGGTCTAAACATATTGCAGGTAACCGGTTGGTATACTAAATCAAATGCTATTGGTATAAAAATGAAAACTAAAAATGTGTAGCCGCCAAACAAGCGATTTCTCACCAGTGGCGGCGGATTCGATTTTGGCGTGGGGGGGCAAGATCCCAGTCGAGATGATGTCATAGGCGGATCCAGAAAGGCGTTTTCGAATTTCGACGCTGTAGGGGACATACCCCCCCAAAAAAAGTGTCCAAAATCCAAAAGCTCCTCGGATTTCGATTCCTTACTGCTGAACAGTATAAAAAAAAAACTGATAAAAATGTTATTATTAGGAAACGTAAGGTACGTTTTGTCTATTTCGGGCGATGTAGGGGCCAGGGGGAGGGGGAGTAAATATTTGCTTTAAATGCCCGCTCCCTGGATCCGCCAGTTAAAACGATGTCATAACGCATTTCGTATTGCTGTATTAGAAAAAAAGCTCCGATGGGAAAAAATTGTGCCATAACCCGATCGCATATCAGATGTTGAAGAACGGTGCCAAACCTTTTTAAGTAGGCGAGCACTACTCTTCAATGAGGTAACTCGTTACCATTTCCTCTGTTCATTTTACGTTGGATTTTCGTTTAACTTCCTTTAAAAAGTATTTCTGAGACAGATATCAACTGAAACTAGCTCACAGCGGGAGGAGACCGCTCAAACATTCAGAGACAGTCGGTCGCATCTAAACCTATTGGGACAGCGACCCGCCAGAAACCCTCCCCAAGGCAGTAGTTCGCCAACTAAGCTCACCGAGACGGGCTGTCTCGATGGGTTTATCCTACAGTAATTAGTAAACCCACAGCAAGGCTTAACTAAGGCCCAAACGCTCGTCAAGCTGGGAACGGAGGGCTGAGGTGAGGGAGTCGAGCAGCGGACTAGCGGTGAAGGAATTCGGTGAACTGGATGCAGAAGCTCTGGGGGGGGGGGCGTTTCTTTATTAGGACTTAAGGGTGCGCTGACTGCGGTAAGGTCCAAATTATCACACCAAATTTTACCACGACATCTACCGGTTCAGGCACTCGAGAATCAGCGGCCAGTGATATCTGCAAAGGCGAAGCATTTCCAACCCAGCTTCAGCCTAGTGTGGGCGCCTCAGGTGGCTTTAATTACAGTTGCACATACCAAACGACCTCAGTGCAGCCAGTCTGTCGCCGAAACCATTCGGAACAGACTTCAACGAAAAGTGAGACAAGGTTAGTGCTATCGGTAAGTGCCATTATAGACTTGGACCCCGTTGGCTTGACCCACTGGAAGGTGGTAGTTATCGGACGCTGCGGGGCATACTCATTACTCATTTTTCCAAAATGCCTTAGATTTTGCTTTCGTGTTCGATGCTCTGTATTTTATAGCCAGCCTTTAGCCAGAGGGGGCCCCACTAATGATTAGTGCCCTAACCCTCAAAAGTTTCCAACGTTAATTCTAACTTATTTAATAGTGAATACTGAAATAAAGCGGATACTGAACTGAGTGAACATCCAGTTTTTACACTGGCCCCACACAAGCCTCCGAATGCCCAAAGCAGATATCTGATGACTGGCCTTTGGGTGTCATACCGTGCATTTGTCAATGTGGTCAATGTGTACGACCTCGGCGTTTACCATTTTACTTGCACTGGAAACTGCATGCGCTCGAAAAAATCAGGGGAGTGGCTTATTACGAGCGCTCATCAGTCCTAACTACCCGCAGGCGAATGGCTAGCCCTTCCGTCTCCGCTCGCTTGCGATTTGGCATTCATGTAGGTACAAAATAGCGGCAAACGACCACTGAGTGTGTGAGTTGCGTCTCTTGCACACTTAAAATATCTCTAAATCGCATCTGAAACGACAAAAAATGCTATAAATCGGAAATGGTTAGCATTTACACATATTCAAAAGGCACCGTTGGACAAACTGTAGGAGTGCATAGCTGCACTATCAGGCTATGGAAATTTTCCTCATGTTTAGGGCACAAATTATGGAGGGGCAAGAATATACGTTTGTCCCTCCTCCAGAAGTTTCTTAGGGAACGATGCCTCCTCTGCCACCCCGTATCCGTCATGTGCGTGAAGTTGGCGTCGGATTCGGATTCGTATTCAGCGTCGAGTACCGAATCACTTGAAAACGTCATATCTGGTCAATTCGGGGACGGGGAGCACGAATATGACATTAATTTTGCCCTAGCAGGTATCCCTTATCCCTTAATCGTCCCTTAAACGACGGGGCGCGCCAAAAGTGCCTCAGGGGTTCTTCCGATCGCGAAAAGAATGGTCCCAGGCGATTCCCCGGGTCGATATCTAGCCGCACCACCACTAACTTCACACGTGCCTCATATCCCTTATCCCTTAATCGTCCCTTAAATGACGGGGCGCGCCAAAAGTGCCTCAGGGGCTCTTCCGATCGCGAAAATAATGGTCCCAGGCGATTCCCCGGGTCGATATCTAGCCGCACCACCACTAACTTCACACGTGCCTCATATCCCTTATCCCTTAATCGTCCCTTAAATGACGGGGCGCGCCAAAAGTGCCTCAGGGGTTCTTCTGATCGCGAAAAGAATGGTCCCAGGCGATTCCCCGGGTCGATATCTAGCCGCACCACCACTAACTTCACACGTGCCTCATATCCCTTATCCCTTAATCGTCCCTTAAATGACGGGGCGCGCCAAAAGTGCCTCAGGGGTTCTTCCGATCGCGAAAAGAATGGTCCCAGGCGATTCCCCGGGTCGATATCTAGCCGCACCACCACTAACTTCACACGTGCCTCATATCCCTTATCCCTTAATCGTCCCTTAAATGACGGGGCGCGCCAAAAGTGCCTCAGGGGTTCTTCCGATCGCGAAAAGAATGGTCCCAGGCGATTCCCCGGGTCGATATCTAGCCGCACCACCACTAACTTCACACGTGCCTCATATCCCTTATCCCTTAATCGTCCCTTAAATGACGGGGCGCGCCAAAAGTGCCTCAGGGGTTCTTCCGATCGCGAAAAGAATGGTCCCAGGCGATTCCCCGGGTCGATATCTAGCCGCACCACCACTAACTTCACACGTGCCTCATATCCCTTATCCCTTAATCGTCCCTTAAATGACGGGGCGCGCCAAAAGTGCCTCAGGGGCTCTTCCGATCGCGAAAATAATGGTCCCAGGCGATTCCCCGGGTCGATATCTAGCCGCACCACCACTAACTTCACACGTGCCTCATATCCCTTATCCCTTAATCGTCCCTTAAATGACGGGGCGCGCCAAAAGTGCCTCAGGGGCTCTTCCGATCGCGAAAATAATGGTCCCAGGCGATTCCCCGGGTCGATATCTTGCCGCACCACCACTAACTTCACACGTGCCTCATATCCCTTATCCCTTAATCGTCCCTTAAATGACGGGGCGCGCCAAAAGTGCCTCAGGGGTTCTTCCGATCGCGAAAATAATGGTCCCAGGCAATTCCCCGGGTCGATATCTAGCCGCACCACCACTAACTTCACACGTGCCTCACATCACATAAGGGATAAGGGATATGAGGCACGTGTGAAGTTAGTGGTGGTGCGGCTAGATATCGACCCGGGGAATCGCCTGGGACCATTCTTTTCGCGATCGGAAGAACCCCTGAGGCACTTTTGGCGCGCCCCGTCATTTAAGGGACGATTAAGGGATAAGGGATATGAGGCACGTGTGAAGTTAGTGGTGGTGCGGCTAGATATCGACCCGGGGAATCGCCTGGGACCATTCTTTTCGCGATCGGAAGAACCCCTGAGGCACTTTTGGCGCGCCCCGTCATTTAAGGGACGATTAAGGGATAAGGGATATGAGGCACGTGTGAAGTTAGTGGTGGTGCGGCTAGATATCGACCCGGGGAATCGCCTGGGACCATTATTTTCGCGATCGGAAGAGCCCCTGAGGCACTTTTGGCGCGCCCCGTCATTTAAGGGACGATTAAGGGATAAGGGATATGAGGCACGTGTGAAGTTAGTGGTGGTGCGGCTAGATATCGACCCGGGGAATCGCCTGGGACCATTATTTTCGCGATCGGAAGAGCCCCTGAGGCACTTTTGGCGCGCCCCGTCATTTAAGGGACGATTAAGGGATAAGGGATATGAGGCACGTGTGAAGTTAGTGGTGGTGCGGCTAGATATCGACCCGGGGAATCGCCTGGGACCATTATTTTCGCGATCGGAAGAACCCCTGAGGCACTTTTGGCGCGCCCCGTCATTTAAGGGACGATTAAGGGATAAGGGATATGAGGTACGTGTGAAGTTAGTGGTGGTGCGGCTAGATATCGACCCGGGGAATCGCCTGGGACCATTCTTTTCGCCATCGGAAGAACCCCTGAGGCACTTTTGGCGCGCCCCGTCATTTAAGGGACGATTAAGGGATAAGGGATATGAGGCACGTGTGAAGTTAGTGGTGGTGCGGCTAGATATCGACCCGGGGAATCGCCTGGGACCATTATTTTCGCGATCAGAAGAACCCCTGAGGCACTTTTGGCGCGCCCCGTCATTTAAGGGACGATTAAGGGATAAGGGATATG